GTAAATGTTCACATGGGAAGTCACCTGATTCTCTTCCACAGACCAAAGTCACTTCAGTCAGAATCATCAAAGGACAGAAACTGAAATTCCATTGTAGATCGGTGCCATCAAAGAGAGGGAGTCTTGACAGGTTGGATCAAGGAATGCTAAAACAAAACTCAGAATTCAACATTTCCCCAAACATTAGCTCAATAAAGGGTGGCACGGCATCACAGAGGTTGGAGCTGTTTCACAGTGAGAAGAGAGGTTTCTCCTGAGATGATTTGGACATRTCTGTAGTAAACGTCTGATGGTTTGAAAATGGATTGATGGCACCAACAATGACTTGGTGAGTATCTCAAAAGAAAAGCACACATTTTTTTTAAACTCCAGCCACAGGACAGTGCACATATTGCAGCCTTTGTAACTTACCTRATGAGTTTGAGAACCACCACAAATGTCACAAAACATTTTGAAGAATTCATCAACACTTTTCACCCCCCACTATAGCCCAGTGAGTACTACAGATAAGAAAGCTCTGAGTTTGAAGAAGAAGAAAAGACCTGATGAAAATAATTTCAAGGCCTGTAAACAGCCACATTACAACTTCTCATCCATCCATCCCTCCATCATCCATCCATTCATCCATCCATCAGTCAGTCCATTCATCTATCCATTCATTTATTCATCAACCAATCCATATATCTATCCATTCATCCATTTTCTACACCTGCTCAATGGTAAAGTCATGGAGGAAACAGGTCCTTGGAAAACCCAGACATCTATCTCACCAGCAACACTCTACAGCTCCTCCTGGGGGTCCCAAGACAGACTCAACAGACTCACATCCATTGGCACCTCAGGTACTGCGTTTGACTGGTTCAAATCTTATCTTTCTGACCGCACTCAATTCATCSAGATTAAATCCTTCCACTCTGAGTCATTCCCTGTCTCCACTGGCGTGCCCCAAGGTTCTGTCCTTGGACCCCTTCTCTTCATCACTTACCTCCTTCCTCTTGGTTACATTTTCCGCAAATTTGGTATCCGTTTCCATTGTTATGCCGATGACACACAGCTCTACCTGTCAACCAAGCCAAACTCCACACACCCTCCCTCCATCCTCACTCAYTGTCTCAATGAACTCAATCACTGGTTTTCAGACAATTTCTTTCAACTGAATAGTGATAAAACAGAAATCATTCTTGTCGACACTAAAAATTCAGTCTCAAAATCTAATAATCTCCTCATCCCTATCAACAACTCTCTGCTAACCCCCTCCCCTCACGTCAAGAGTCTTGGTGTCATCCTCGACACCACTCTCTCCTTCACTGGTCAGATCAATAATGTTACTCGGTCTGCCTACTTCCCCCTCAGAAATATCAACTGTCTCCGTCCTTCTCTCACACCCCGCACCATAGCCACCCTTGACCACAGTCTTGTGACCTCACAGATCGACTACTGTAACTCTCTTCTTTTTGGCCTCCCAAACAAATCCCTCCATAAGCTTCAGATGGTCCAGAACTCAGCTGCACGTGTCATCACCCAAACCTCCTCCCATAACCACATCACCCCAGTCCTGCAGCAGCTCCACTGGCTCCTGGTCAAATCACGCATYGTCCAAAATTCTTCTTCTCACGTTCAAAGCTATCCACCATCTTGCCCCTCCTTACATATCCGACCTCGTGCATATCTCCATCCCCTCCCGCTCTCTCAAATCCTCTTCTTCCCTAAACCTCCAAGTATCCACTGCCCACTTCTCCACCATGGGGAACAGGGCCTTTATCTGTTCTGCACCTCTCCTCTGGAACTCTCTACCACCTGACCTAAGAAACACCACCTCTCTTCCTGTGTTCAAGACTGCTTTGAAAACACATCTGTTTAGATTAGCATATCCATCTTCACTTCATTTGTAATCCATGCCCTGTAACTCATGCCAGCTTGTCTCTGTAATTTCCCACATTCTTCTATGATGAAATAATGCTGTAAGTGTCCTTTTCCTGAAAGGCGCTTTTCAAATAAAATGATTATTGTTATTATTATTATTATAAGACAAGCTCAGACCAAAGAGGATACACACAGCGGGTAAAATAAGTATTGAACATGTCAACATTTTTCTCAGTAAATATATTACTAGAGGTGCTAATGACATGAAATTTCCACCAGTTGTTGTAAGCTTTGCCACATCATTTTTTTTTTTTTTTTTGTTTGTTTTTGATAGTTTATTTTTTTTTTTCACTTGAGCTCCTCTTGCCTGCATTTAAGTCCAAATCTTCCCACAACCTGATACACACAGCGGGTAAAATAAGTATTCAACATGTCACCATTTTTCTCAGTAAATATATTACTAGAGATGCTAATGACATGAAATTTCCACCAKTTGTTGGTAACAACCTAAGTGATCCATACATACAAAGAAATCAAACCATAAATGTCCAGAAATGAAGTTATTTGTAATAATGTGGAATGGCACAGGGAAAA